CAGTATCTCTCTCCCTCTTTCTCCTTCTTAGGGGGCTACATGGCCTTTGCTTTCCTTTCCACATATTTTCCATTCTCTTTGGCCCATCAATCACCTTCCTTTGTTTCCTCAGTGTTTGTTCCCTCTGTAGCTTACATGTGAATTTGACTTGCTCTAACTCTAATTCCACCATTAACTGAAAACTCTTTCCATATTCCTTAGTATAAATTTCAAGAGAATTAGCTTAACTCATATGTTCAAGGCAGACCACCCAAGCTATAGTTTGCTGGCCATCTGACTGGAGAAATTGTTCCTGGATCTGTTACTTCTCCAAGTCCAATGAGCTGTGACCAGCGATGGACAGGAGTGATATGCCTCACAACATTCTTTGCTGATTGAGGATCCATGGGTGAGGTAGTGACTTATAGGAGAGATTACGGGTGAATTTAATGCAAGGTATTATTTATACTTTGAAATTGTAACTTCAAATGCAACACACTCAAAATAGAATTTGTCGTTTTCTCCTACAAACTCACACCCCTGCCTGTATCCCCTACCTCAGTTAAAAATGGCACCATTATCTATCTGATAATGGCACCATTCTATATCTTTAATCCTAAAGTAGAAAAACATTGGGAATTACCTAGATATTTTTCTTTGTCCCTAAACCCCACATTGGGAGCTCTGGTAGTGTAGTGCCTAAAGCACTTGACTGCTAACCAGAAGGCTGGCCATTCAAACCCACCAGCCACTCCTTGGAAGGAAGGTTGGGCAATCTACTTCCATAGTGATACTGCCTCGGAAACCCATGGAGGGGTCGCTCTGAGTCGGTGACGACTACACAGCACATAACAACAACAACAACAACAAACTCCACATCTATCCCTTATTGTTATCAATTAAACCTTCTAAGAAGCTGTCCAATCTACCTTGTTTGCCCAAATCAGTTTAGGCTCCATCAACTCTCTACTAAGTAATCTCACCACTTCCAGTCTCTGCTCCCTCTAAGCACTTGCTTTAGAAGCAAAAAAACAAAACAAAACTCACTGCCATTGAGTTGGATCCAACTCACAGTGACTCCTCCTTGGGTTTCCAAGGTGGTATCACTATGGAAGTAGATCGCCCAACCTTCCTTCCGGGTTTGAACCACTAGCCCTCTGGTTAGCAGTCAAATGCCTTGGGCACCATGCCACCAGAGCTCCTTTAAGGTTAATTAGACCAGACTCACAACCCCTCCTTGGGCTCCGAGGCAGTATCTCTAGGGAGGTAGATTGCCCAGTCTTCCTTCTGAGGAGCGGCTGGTGGTTTGAACCGCCAGCCTTCTGGTTAGTGGTCAACTGCCTTAGGCACTATGCCACCAGAGCGGAATAGATTATGTGTAAAATACGAAAGTGATGGAAGAAAAATCTGAATGTCTCTCTGGTTAATGTTTTCCTGAGAGAACGCCTCATTTAATATGCAAACTTTATAAAACATGTATATCTCTCAATCTAACAGTTTTTTGTCCAATGTTTACTTATGAAAGATTTATATTTACATACTCAAAACTCAATGCACTATTTTTAATAAAATGATTTGTGAGAAAAAATGAAGTTAGCTTCCAGATACGGTTGATAGAACATTAGGATCACGTGTAGAGGCTTTAAAAACCTGTTTAATGTCAACAAAGGGAATATACATTTTGGATGTTGCTAGTGCTGGGGCAGGCTGAGTAAGTGAGCTGGACATAGCAGGCAGGTGTCAGAGAGCCTGGGGCAGGCCAGGTAAGTGAGCCAGGTGTGGCAGGTGGGTGTTGGAGCATCTGGGGGAGGCCAGGAAGTGAGCTGGAGGGTTTGGAATGGCTAAGGGAGAGTGGTCATTGGAGCGGCTGAGGGAGGAAGTGAGCAGAACGGTTTGGAACAACTAAGGGAGACAGACTTGTCTGTCAGTTTGTCATACTTTGGTGGCTTGTGTGTTGCTGTGAGGCTGGAGGCTTTGTCACCAGTGTTTCAAATGCCAGCAGGGTTACCCATGGTGGACAAGTTTCAGTGGAGCTTCCAGACTAAGATAGAGACTTGGTAGAAGGAGGAAGCTGTTCACTTCTCAAAGAACTGGCCGGTGAAAACCTAATGAATAGCAGTGAAATGCTGTCTGATATATTACTGGAAAACTTCAGGAATAGCCCTGAAACATTGTCCAATATAGTGCCAGAAGATGAGCCCCTCAGGTCAGAAGGCACTCAAAATATGACTGGGGATGAGCTGCCTCCTCAGAGTAGAGCCCATCTTAATGATATTGATAGAGTAAAGCTTTTGGAATCTCCATTTGCTGATGTGGTACATCTCAAGATGAGAAGAGACAGCTACAAACATCCATTAATAATTGGAACATGGAATGTATGAAGTATGACTCTAGGAAAATTAGAAGTTGTCAAATATGAAATGGAACACATGAAGATCCATATCTTAGGCATTAGTGAGATGGTTTTGGACATTTGGGATCAGACAATCATATGATCTACTATGCCCAGAATGACAAATTGAAGAGGAATGGTGGGGCATTCATCATCACAAAGAATGTATCAAGATCTGTCCTGAAGTACAATGCTGTCAGTGATAGGATAATATCCATACAGCTACAAGGAAGACCAGTTAATACTACTAATATCAAATTTACGCACCTACCACCAAAGCCAAAGATAAGGAAATTGAAGGTTCTTACCAACTTCTGCAGTCTGCAAATGACTGAACATACAATCAAGATGTGCTAATTATCACTGGTGATTGGAATACAAAAGTTGGAAACAAAGAAGAATCACCAGTAGTTGGGAAATATGGCCTTCATAATAGAAATGACACTGGAGATCACATGATAGAATTTTGCAAGACCAACGACTTATTCATTGCAAATATCTTTTTTCAACAACACAAATGGTGGCTATACATGTGGACCTTGCCAGACAGAGTACAAGGAGTCAGATTAAGTACATCTGTGGCAAGAGGCAATGGAGAAGCTCAATATCTTCTTCCAAAACAAGACCAGAAGCTGATTGTGGAACAGACCATCAATTGCTCATGTGCAAGTTCCTGTTGAAGGTAAAGACAATTAAAACAAGTCCATGAGAGCCAAAATATGACCTTGAATTTAGAGATCATCTAAAGAATAGATTTGATGCATTGAACACCAATGACTGAAAACCAGAGGAATTGTGGAATGACATCAAGAACATCATCCACAAAGAAAGCAAAAGGTCATTAAAAAGACAGGAAAGGAAAAAAAGGCCAATATGGATATCAGAAGAGACTCTGAAACTTGCCCTTGAGTGTAGAGTAGCTAAAGCAAATGGAAGAAATGAAAGGATAAAAGAGCTAAACAGAAGATTTCAAAAAGCAGCTCAAGAAGACAAAGCCAATTACTATAATGAAATGTGCAAAGACCTGGAGTTAGAAAACCAAAAAGGAAGAATTTGGCATTTCTCAAGCTGAAAGAACTGAGGAAAAAAATTAGGCCTTGAGTTGCAATATTGAAAGATTCTATGGGCAATATATTGAATGATGCAGGAAACATTAAAAGAAGATGGAAGGAATACACAGAGTCACCGTACCAAGAAGAATTGGTTGATGTTCATCCATTTCAGGAGGTGGCATATGATCAAGAACCAATGGTATTGAAGGAAAAGTCAAAGCTGCACTGAAGGAATTGGTGAAGAACAAGGCTCCAGGAATTGACAGAATACCATTGAGATGTTTCAACAAATGGATGCCACACTGAAGGCACTCACTCAGCTATGCCAAGAAATTTGGAAAACAGCTATCTGGCCAACTGACTGGAAGAGATACATATTTGTACTCATTCCAAAGAAAGGTGATCCACAGAACGTGGAAATTTTCGAACAATATCGTTAATATCACATGCAAGTAAAATGTTACTGAAGAGAATTCAAAAATGGTTGCAGCAGTATATTGACAGAGAACTTCCAGAAATGCAAGCTAGATGTGAAGAAGACGTGGAACGAGAGATAACATAGGTGATGTCAGATGGATCTTGGCTGAACGCAAAGAGTACCAGAAAGATGTTTACTTGTGTTTTATTGACTATGCAAAAACATTTGATTGTGTGGATCATAACAAATTATAGATAACATTGAGAAGAATGGGAATTCCAGAACACTTACTCATACTCATGAAGAACCTGTTTGTAAATTTGAATAATAGTAGTAGTAACTAGTCTTCCTTGTAGCTGTATGGATATTATCCTATCACTGACAGCATTGTACTTCAGGATAGATCTTGATACATTCTTTGTGATGATGAATGCCCCACCATTCCTCTTCAATTTGTCATTCTGGGCATAGTAGATCATATGATTGTCTGATCCCAAATGTCCAAAACCAGCTCACTAAAGCCTAAGATATGGATCTTCATGTATTCCATTTCATTTTTGACAACTTCTAATTTTCCTAGAGTCATACTTCATACATTCCATGTTCCAATTATTAATGGATGTTTGCAGCTGTCTCTTCTCATCTTGAGACGTACCACATCAGCAAATGGAGATTCCAAAAGCTTACTGCTAACCAGAAGGCTGGCGGTTCAAAGCCACCAGCCACTCCTTGGAAGGAGGGTTGGGCAATCCTACTTCCGTAGTGATACTGCCTCGGAAACCCAAGGAGGGGTCGCTATGAGTCGGGGCCGACTCGACGGCACATAACAACAACAACAACATCCATATCATTAAGATGGGCTCTACTCTGAGGAGGCAGCTCATCCCCAGTCATATTTTGAGTGCCTTTTATTTTTAAGGTGCTTTCTGCAGAACACAAGATTTTTCAGGAGCTCACATTGTTTTACAGAAAAACATTTCTATTTTTATTCTTCAATTTATTACAGTACACTGTGTTTACATATCTGTTTCTGAATAGTTTAACAATTCCTCGAAAGGAATCCCCATGCCTATTCCTCTTAGAATCATCACTACTTGGCACACAGTTTTCAAAGACTGTCTAAATTTAACTGAATATCAGTGAAGTATATTATCAATACCTTTTGGATAATTCTTTTTTCTCTGTTGCTAGTTCACTGCTTTCCTTAATAGTCTGTATTTCATTTGGTGTTACTTCATCATGCTGTGAGTAGCAAAAGAAATCACATTTCAAAAATCAGTACAACAATGATCTGATCAATAATGTTTAATAAAAAGTAAATTACCCAATCCACTGACTTTGAGTTGGATCCGACTCATAGTGACCCCTCCTTGGGTTTCTAAGGCAGTATCACTATGGAAATAGATTGCCCAACCTTCCTTCCGAGGAGCGCCTGGTGGGTTTGAACTGCTAGCCATCTGGTTAGCAGTCAAATGCCTTAGGCACTACACCACCAGAGCTTCAAAAAGTAAATTGGCAGTATCAAAAGTCATAAAATTTTATACACTTAAGTCCATTCTATCTACTTTGGAGGAAAAAAACTTGTAAAATTTATACTGTATTTTTTTCAGAGGCACATAAAGAAAGAAGATCAGAATTTTCAGAACATCAACTGTGGTTGTGTTGGATAAATAAAATTTCGACTGATTTTATTCTCTTCAGTTTGTGAAAATTTCCCTACAGTGGACTTATTACTTTTTAGTCCTAAAAAAAATAAGGAAGAACAAGTTTTAGTAATTTAAACTTTCTTAAAATTCTTCACTTAAGGATTCCTAGGTTTTCTGTGAGCCACAAATAAAAAAAATATGGAGTATTTAGCTATGAAGTTATAAAAAAACTAAATGTATGTTAAGTTTTCCCAAAAGATTTTTGTCAAAGCAACTCAGACATTGGTACCATCATACTTAAAATGCTATTTTGGAGACCACTACATTTAGGCCACCGATCTACTCCAAACCATAATAATTCTCCTCAATTTACTTTCTAGAGTTTTGCTTGTTATTGCTATTTGATGAACTTGCTATTATATGTGCTTTGTTACATTATTACACTTGGCTAATATTAATGTAATAATTAATGTAATTAATATTAATATTAATTAATTTCTAGAGTCAACAGTTAATATAGGCACATTGCACTAATTTTCTAGTAGACTGGACTGGGTTGGGGCTAAGAAAATTTGGTTTCACCCTGCTAATAACTGGCTATGTGAACTATGACAGGTCATTTAGCTTCTCTTTACCTTAGTTTTCTCATTTATAAAGTTGAATGATTAAATTCATTAATCTGCCTGGTTCCTCTTAGCTAAAAAGTATATCAGTATACTCAATAATGAATTGCATGACTATTCATGTCCCTGGAAACACTGTGACAAGTTAAGGATTAGATATTTTGGTCCTTAGTACAACATACTATTGCTTCCTGGCCAATGATACTAAAAGAATTATTTTCAGATGATAACACTTTGGGAAGAAAACTATCAAATTAATGAGATGGATATAAAATGTCTAATTGTTTGGCTATGAACATATTATAAAGATTACTGAAAAGTTAAATACTACTACAATGAATATCATATACATTTCACCTAGATTCATGTCTTGACATTTTTGGTACTTTGCATGCCCCGTGCCCTCTCTTTTTATTTTTGCTGAACCATTTGAAAAAAATTTGCAGACATCGTGACTTTTCACTCCTTAATACTTAGCATGCATTTTCTAAAATACATATACTTCTGTGTCTACAATATCACTACGACACAAGAAAATTAACATTAATTCAGTACCACTGAATATATAGTCCATATTAAATTTTCCCAGTTGTCCTTAAATGTTTCTGATAGCATTTTTCCTGCTTGTTTTTGTTTTTGTAAAAATTCAGAAGCCACAGATGTCTCTTAATCTAGAACAGTCCCTTGTCTTTTTTGTCTTCATGGCATTGACTATTTTAGAGCCCTGGCCACATAGTTGTCTTGTAGTATGTCCCATATTCTGTATTTATCTGTTTTTTTCTTAGGTAATATTCCTAGATAATGTTCAATAAAGGGGTGCCCTTTAAATTCCTTAATCTGTCTTACTGATGCTAACATCTCAAAATTGAACATTTGAAAGATAACATTGCTTTGAAATATTTTTAAAAATGCAGATTCTGATCAAGTACATCAATTTGCTCTTACCTTTTCTATCGAGGAATGTTGGTCTTCCCAAATAAAATTACCAATTTTTCTTCTTATTTCTGTGATAGTAAGAACAAATCCAATACTATTTTTTTAAAAATGAACTTTGTAGAATTTTCTAAATTTTGCTTTAAGTCTGAGATTTCTAGGCCAGCATTTAATCCACTTTTATCACCACGTAAGATACTTATTTAAAATGCAGGTTCTTATTGGATCAGATCATTGAGGAGGCACTAAGCAGTCTGCATTTCTAACAAACTCCCTAGATGATTCTAATCATTATGAGAATCATTGTTGTAGACTTTGTCTGCTGGAATATATATCTTCATTAGATGTCAGTGTCTTTAGGTCAATAACAAAGAAGACAATTATCTGGTCAATAAAAAGTATGAAATTCCTGAATTTGTACAGCAGAGGTCTTTGAGAATTAAGTAATTTACTTTTCTAAAAGAAAGATGGATGGGTAACATGTCTAGTAAGCATGGAACTACATCATCATCCTAAATGAATGATCTCAAAACTGTCCATGTTAGCCTGCAGGAGGACAAAAAGGGTCACATTTATTACTCTAGGCCTATGTTTTTCAATACAGTTGCAACTGGCTACATGTGTAAATTGAGCACCTGAAATATGGCTAGTCCAAATTAAGATGTGCTATAAGTGTAAAATAAACACAATTCTGAAGACATGGTATAAAACATGAATATAAAAGATCTCAATTATTTCTATGCTGATTATATGTTAAAATGATATTTTGGATGTATTGAGTTAAGTAAAACATATTATTAAAATCTATTTCACCTATTCACCTATTTCTTTTTACTCTTTTCAACATGGCTACTAGAAAATTTAAAATTACCTAAGTAGCTTCCATTTTTGGCTCTAGGTGGATTAAAAAGATTTCTGCTTTTTAAGGAACATGTTTCAATTTAAATCACATGTAAAATATTTTTAAGAATATATTTTAACGTGTATGAACTGCTGTATGGAAAATGAATTCTGTTCTGTAAATTTCCACCCAAATCACAATAAAAATTTTAAAAAAGAGAAATATTATACATAACAATTTAAGAATATATTTTAATGTAAGATACAAAACTCAAATGCAGAGTGAAATCTCAAAAACTAAACTCACTGCTATAGAGTCAATTCTGATTCACAGTGACTCCCATTGGGTTTCCAAGGCTTTACGAAAGTAGATTTCCCCATCTTCCCTCCAACGAGCAGCTGGTGGATTTGAACCACCAACCTTCTGGTTAGCAGCCAAATGCCTTATACACTATGCCACCAGAGCTCCTTAAAGACAGAATAGGAGTGATAATTTAAAATCAAATCACAGAGTCATTCTACAATATAAGCTCTCCAAAGCCAGAGAATAGCAAATTTTTATACAAATAACCCACCTTACGATTTTTTGCAAACCACATAACCCTCTTATGTGTTAATTTCCTATATATGTGCTATGCACTTTACATATACATGTGCATTATTTACCTGAGCACATCATATGTGAAAAATACAGTATGTTGAATTCAATGCCTGGCACAAATAGTGTTTGTATAAATCAATTCTCCCATCCAGTCATTCACTTATTTGCATAACCACTTAGAACAGTTTTATAAGTATGTCTTAGAAGCACATCAACTATGGAAATAACTTGATCTTAGTATTTTAATATAAAGGCTCTTCTATGGAAATATTTTTCAAGGGTTGTTTATTATTTATACTCTATTCACTAGGAATTTATACTTAGTTTCAGTCTGTCTTTCTGGAGATGGTAATGATGTAAAACCTACTAAAAACGGGATTTCTAAAGTAATGCCATAAAAGATAAAATTTCAGAATCGAGAGATCAGCACCAGACAGAGAGGTGAACTTCCGGGCCCATGGAATGAGAAAGCTAAATGCCTTTGGGCAGGAGACGTACTAGACGAGTGTGGTGCCTCTGAGCACTTATCATACAACCCAAAACGCAAAGCACCGATCTGACTCATAGTGACCCCTCCTTGGGTTTCCGAGGCAGTATCACTATGGAAGTAGATTGCCCAACCTTCCTTCTGAGGAGTGGCTGGTTATCATGTTGTTGTTGTTGTTTGCCGTGGGAGTCGTAGCCCCGACTCATAGCGACCCCTCCTTGGGTTTCCGAGGCAGTATCACTAGGAAGTAGGATTGCCCAACTTTCCTTCTGAGGAGTGGCTGGTGGGTTTGAACCGCCAGCCTTCTGGTGAGCAGTCAAGTGCCTTAGGCACTATGCTACCAGAGCTCCTGCTGGTTATCATAGGCAGCACTAAAAGAGCTTTATAACACTTGCCTCAGCAGGGGCAGAGGCCACAGGGCTGTCGGGCCAAGAGGCTGAGGAGAGCCAGAGACAGGGCCGCCTATGGAATGGCTGAGAAAAGGCTGTCCTGATAGAGGAAATGTATTCTCAGTCATTTCTGATCCTGAATTATAACCCGTTACTTCTTAATAAACCCCATAATCGTAGGGATTATTATTTTTTTTTTAAGATAAGATTTAGACAGAATAAGAGGTAAGAGTCTTCCAAGTACGGGGCAGTAAAAGAACAAACATAAACAGTTTCCTATTTGACTTGCCCTTCTTACGTCAGTAAATAATATAAAAGTACTTTCAAAAGTTTAAAGAAGGCAAATATATGGGCTTATCATAGCAAATTTTTAAATGCTGGAAGAAAAAAATTCAGAAAAATAATGAAGAGATTTAAAACTAGCATAGAATGCATTTATTGAATATTGATTCCTCACCACTTCAGACACCTTAATGTGTTATCTCATTTAGTCCTCTAAACAACTCAAGAAAGGTTAAATAACTTGCTAAAGGTAACAAAACTAGTAAGTGATAGATCCTAGCCTGTGGGCATTGTAAGGGAAGGTCTGCACCTGGATTGAAATCTGGCCCAAAGTAGGAAGTCAATGAGAGGTGAATGAACAATTAACCAAAAAAAAAAAAAAAGTCAGGATATAAACCCAAGTCAATCTGATCCAAAGTTTATGCTTTTCCCACTTAAATGATACACATCTATGATTGAGAACAAAGATCATAAAATTGGAGAACCTGTAGCTGCATTAGGCTAACAGCATTGGTTATGATTTTTGCTAACCTTTTTGCAGGCAGGTAGGAGGAAGAACGAAATGACCCAAAGCCACTGAGTTTTTAATTTCAGCATTAGCTGCTGCAGAGAGATAGTAGGCATGAAAAACTGTAGCATTATCTTCTATGTAATCGAGGCTCTGATATATTCTAGGAGGAAGAAAGAAAATATTTTAGTTTATGAAATCAACAAAAAATGTATTCAATTCACTTTAAAAACCTAAGAATAAATGACTTGAGTTAGGAGAGCACTACATCAAACGATACATTTATACTGGTCCTTATTTTTCTGGCAAGAAAGTAAAAACACATGGTATTACTAGTTTTTAGTCTTAACTCTAGGCAAATCTCAGATTAGAAACTTAGTTAATGATGATATGACTAGAAATGTGATATAAAACAGTACTGTTTTCTGGACATCAACACCCCATGAGTTTTATCCAGTTATTGCTATAAAGAGGGATCAATTAATTCTGGGGTGAAAGAGGGAGACATAGTCATGAAAGTCTTCACAGAGAAGACATTTTTCCCAGTTCTTAAAAAAAAAAAGGTAGAGATAAGAGGAAAGATATTACAAAAAAAAAAAAAAAAAGAAAGGTATACATGAAAGCACAATATTGAAAATGTGTTAGGCTTGGAAAACCACTGGTAATAATCAGGAAAATGTAAATTTTACCATAATGTAATATCACTTCTCACCCTTCAGAATGGCAAAAAATATTTTTTTTAAAAAATAAAACCTATTATTTCCAAGTGTTGGTAAATGTTTCAAAAAAACAGGACCTCATACACTCCTTTTGAGAGTGTGATTTGATGCAATTATGTTGGAGAAAAATTTGGTATTATTTATTACATTTTAAAATGTGTATGTAAAACCCAGCAATTTTACTTGCACATATAACTCTCCTTTGTGTATATAAAGGCCATATATAAGTCTTTTTTTTTTTTCAGCACTCTTTGTAAAAGAGAAAAATCGGAAAATATGTCTAGAAAGAAACGGACGGAAAGTGTTATATTCCTACAGTGCACCAGTAGTTAAAAATGAACCAGCTCAATTTGTATTAACATGAATAACACTCAAAAGCATTGAGTAGAAAAAGCAAATTGCAAAACTATATTCAATATAAAATAGTTTTTGTTCATTAAAAAGAAAACCTACAAGAACACTATTTGTTCTTCAAGGATATCCATGCATGTATGTATATAAAAAGTATATGAAAAAAAAGGAACCAATTCATAGCAAAAGTGCTTGTGGGGATGCAAGGAATGCATCTGAGATTGAAAAACAAAGAAAATTTTGTTAGGTTTATGTTAGATCTTTGTCTTAAAAAGATATGAAGAAAATTTGATAAAATGTTAACAACTGTCAGTTCTGGGTGAGTATGCAAGTCTTTGCTGTTACTATCTGTACTTTTATATTTTAATTATTTTTTAAGTTTTCCAAACCTTCAAAATTAAAAAAGAAGGGAAGGTAAAAGTGATCTGGCTAGTGATCTGGCAATTCAGGTTGACTAAACTATGGAAGGGAGCTCTGGTAGCATAGTGGTTAAGACACTTGCCTGCTCACCAGAAGGCTGGCGGTTCAA